CTCTCTCTCTCTCTCTCTCTCTCTCTCTCTCTCTCTCTTCACGTGGAGTTGTATTCATGGCGCGTTTCGCTCGCAGAGCTAATTAGTATGTGCCGCGGTGCCGCGTATTAGGCGGTGGTCACAGTTGCATACAGAAAGACACACGAGGGGGAAACGACGCGTTCACCGTCACCACCTGTGAAAGAAGTGTTTCCACGGAATTCCAAGAATCCCCGAGTCGTCCCTCGTTCCTTCTCTCGTCGATATCCATTTATTATTTACATTTCCGCTTGTACTTCTGCAATTTTCTCCTCATTGGCAGACGTTACTCGACTCGAGAATATCTTTCAATTTCGAATAAAATGTTATTTTAAGTGGAAATAAACTCGATATAAATCGGGGAATTAGTTGACGCGATGAATCAGATTACGTCGTGCTGTCAATATCCGTCGTCGGTACTTAATTGAAAATTCTTTTTACGATGGAGGAGCCGACGTATCATCGTGGTCGAGCATCCGGTTAATTTACTGTAAGCGGATACAGCCCGTTATCGCGATTCAATCATAACTCATCCGGCGTATGCGTCTTGTCTCTCTCTCAATTAATGAGAATTAATTGATCACAGCGGTCGTTAATACTAGCAGGTGCATTCCGCTACAAGAGTTACAAATAAATAGAAGCGGCTTTCTCTCTCTCTTTCTCTCGGTCGGAGGAGCATTCTGGCACACGTCGAGACAATTACATTAATTAGATCGTGAGATCGATTAAAGTACCTGCGATACCTTTGTGTGCATCGTAGATACATCCTCCTTCCATCTAATGTCGACATTAAGATTTATGACTACGTACAGCGTCGAACTATAGTGTTTGAATAATTATTCGGCAATCGGAAGAAGCTAAATATTTTTTGAGAAGAAAATTTCTCTAATGTTATTTTTATTAAAAAGTTACAGAATTACAGGCCTCGAACGAAAAGAAATTACGTAAATAAAGGAATTAATATATTTTTCACAGATAAAGAGGATTAATATCTATAAAAGATATTATTTCTTTTATAATTTGCGTCATATCTTTTTTTTCTCGAAGTTGATTATCATGTGATTATTTACAAAAAAGCTATATGAAATAATTTAATGGAGATATGATATCTTTTTGCAGATTACAGACTTTTCCTTCTATTGGTTTTTTTTTTTTTTTTGCAACTTGGAGTAATTCAAATTGATCTTAATATTATGCAATATAAAAGGTAGTCATAAAGTTTAATAGCTTTAATTCTCTATAAAAAGAAACGCTGATATTCTTCAGCAATATGTCCCTTTCGCGATAGCATACATTTCAATAACTTTAGATTTTAAGTCCTTTGTCGCACAGTTGTTTGCGATACTAATTGAAGCCATTAGCGGTCGAAGGAAAATAAAACACGGAGGGTAAAGCATGAGAGGACAAACGCAAGCGTGAAGTTCATAGTGAAGTTAAATACCGGGTAATTCCAAATGTCGACGCGTTTCTAGGAAGGAACGAAGGATTCGGCTTGGGGGACGAACGCCGGTGGCCTCTTAAGACTGGTTTCCGCGGTTAACATCGGGCTTTCGCAGATTTCCGTCTCGATAACTGTAATCGTAAAGCGAGCCATTACGGTAATCTCGGTCTCGTTCATGCGGATTTGCTTCTCGCCATTCCGACGGGCTTAAATTCTTATTCGTCCTTCCCAGATTTTACGGTATAAGAATTAACGAGAGACGCTTGCGGAAATCTTTTTGCGCGCGCCGAGATTTCACTTGTAAATTTTTACAGCGTCGTAAATTTTTCGATTATTTAATACGCGAACTGCGCGTAAGGGGAGACGCGATTGTCGTTCGGCACCTTGAAAATGTCCCCGCGTTCGGCCGAACATGGACAAGGCATTCGGCCGTCTCGTTAACATGCCGAGGGAGCAATTGTAATTTCGCATCTAGAGAATTGTGGAATCAATCGCTGATTATCGCATAACTAGGCTACCTGCTCTCTTTTTCTCATTCTTTTCCTGTTTCTACAACAACGTTTACAAAACGATCTGTGACAATCCTGCGTTCTCGCGTTTTCTCCGCGGTATCGCGCGTCCGGGATAAAATTAGAATACCAATGCCATAATTTGCGCGATGTCCACTTCGAAACGATATCTGGAATAAATGTGGCGTGCGACGGAGATAACGCGCTTCTACCCCCGAATACTTAATACACGCAATGACAACGTAATAACGGCATGGTTGTACACGTATCCGCCACGAGTTTGACATTATTCGTTACTCCGCGGTCACGCCGAGGAATGCGAGCTGCGATCTCTCGTTGCGATTCCCAACGTCCGAGCAACATCTCTGTTAAACGCGGATATGGGCGATCGCGTTCGGTATTCTCTACGCGGGAGAGGACGCGATTCTCGGTTCCTGTCGACGTATCCTGTCGGATACAACTGCGTGTCGCTTGTAATTCTGTGCAACGTCGTCTTTTATGCGAGGGTTTAAATCACATTCTCGAGAAGTGACTCGATCCCCCCTTTCTCTCTCTCTCTCTC